CCCCAAAACCCCAAAACCCCATGGATAGATTATTAGGAAATTAAAAAAAAGAATAAAAAAAGAGGTTAAGCAAAAATAATTAAATATTTATAATTTAGATAGAGAAAGAGAAGATTATTAATGAAAGGGATGAAAAATAAATTAAAGCAATAAATACTCAAAAAGCATCTCACCTAAGTCATATCAAACCATCAAAGGAAATAGTCTTATCGTAAATCACAACTAGAAATGTCAACGAATGACTAATCTGCTATGGTTGTAGTCCACGACTCTTCTTTTGATAAATAGTTTAACTCTAAAACAAAAGGAATCGTTAAAATTAAGGATATTACCAAAAAAAACAAATTGCTGGAGAGCTACTCTTCAAGAAATTAAATTAAGATAGACAGGCGGCTAACTTCAGAGGAAAGACAAAAAAATATAATGCTACAGCATGAATCGATTGACAATACAGACATTTGATAAATCGATCATAATTTTGGAGATTAATATAACAAACTGGCTTCAGAGCTGAGCTATCAAAGTAAAAATTTAGCCAAAAGACTAGTTTAATCAGATTATCAAAATATCTCAACTCCTCACAATCTAGAAAACAACAGGCTTGACAGTATATCATTATAGCTGTAAAGTATCTATCTCGGAGATTAATCAGCTATGATTAAGTCAAGCAAAAGAATCATTACAAAAGTTAATAAAAAGAACCGGAGTGAGCATATATCAATCCATAATGAGAAGTAAATTCCTCATTAATAAATATTGAATGGCAAATAAGTTAAAAAAGCTCTTAAGTTGCCTTACTTTAATTAGCTTCATAACATTAACTTCACTTAAAACGTAAGTTAAAATAGTCAGAAAGATTAGCAGGGTCATATAGCCACTGGAAGTAGCAATAATTCGAATCATCATAGTCATACTCATAGCACTCATACGAATGGAAATCTTGATATCACAAAAACATAAGCATACAGACAGATTTAAGCACTACTCTAAAAATAGAACTAGCCAGCAAATAATTAACCATAAATTGACGTGAATTTCTAGGATTTATACCAAATGCAAAATACAGATTCAATATAATAGAAGAGAAAGCAAAGACCCTCAAACTAAAAAATGTCTCCCTATTAATTTCATCACATTAAATACAATAATCATAAACTCTCATAAGAAGAGGAAAAGTTGCTGAAAGAATATCAGTAGTTCTTTTCTAAAATTGGCATAAATATTAAAAATGAGCCTTCATAGGAAATAAAAACGATGTTACTGAATTAAAGAAAGATATTTAACGAATCTCAGATAAATGAGCAAATGCTGAGTACTTAGATTAAAAGTCAAAATGAATTTCTGAATAGCTAAATACTGAAACCACCCCAAGCCCCAAAGAAGTATTTTAATACTACTTTTTTCAACTCAACTGCGAAGGTCAATTCTTCATCACCTTTCAAGTAAATAAGAGAATTAACCAATGTGACAGCATCTTCTATTATGAAGCCTCTTCCGACTGAAGTTAGAGAGGCTAGGATTGTAATCCTAAATAAACCGTTCACTCACCACAAGAATCATCCTATAAATTTGCTACTGAAGTAAATTAATCAATTTTGTACATTGACTTTAGCAAAAGTACAAAATGCGTCATAGATAAAAAATATCACATTTGACCAAGCACTTATAACTAATCTGTCTAAGTAATTAGGGATAGAGTTACCGAAGAATCAGTTTCTTAATGTACAGCTTTTTAAGTCAAAAAACTTTAATGTCTATTGCAAAGAAGTTATACTTAAGAAATTGTTTGTAGCAGTTAATGAATCAAATTAAGTAGAATTGAATTTTGAAAGAAGTTAGTTTCAATTCTATAAAGGCTTTATTGGTAAAGGAAATAACGCAGCTCTGATAATACAACTTTTTAAGAATAACCGTTGGTGGTGGAACATGTATCAGAGTCTTTAGTTCACACAAGATGGAGAGATGATACTACCAAACAATTATAAGGATGCCTCAAGCATGAACTTGAATCTTCATAAGGAAGATTTTAAGGAGCATAACTTTATTTGGACTTAGTGGAAAAAGCATAGGCATTTCAGTTACCTTAAGCCTACTGTATCAATGTCTAAAACAGAAACTAAATTCAATCCTAAGATAACTCAGAGCTAAACAGAGGGATTATTATATAGGTAAGGTAACCTTTCAAATGACTTTAGAGTCTATGCGAAATTAGAAAACAACTTTCACTTGTCGAATAAATGTGCATTATTTTATAACATGAAAAGATATTATGAAGCTATTGGAAGAGATCCCTTTGAAGTGATACCCTTAACTTTTCATGTGAAGAAGGGTACTGATGATTTGGAGTTTTATAGATTTTTGGATTATTTCAAAGAAATAGAACTTGAAATAGAATAATTGAAAATTTCAAGAGCAAGTGCTAGAAGTTAACTGAGAGAGTAGCCTCATATCATAGTAAACGAAAGAACTCAATTTAAAAGAAAAATAAAAAGGAAGAGAGTCGGTTCGAATAATCTCTCTCCTAGAAATTAATCACCACAGCTTGATGAGAATCGATTAGTTAATCAAAGTAGATTGCAAACTCCGAAAGACTAAATAAAGCTCAAAGAATCCATTGATAATCAGGTATTCTCAACTAGATTTCAATCTCTTGACAAAACTAATTTAGATGCCTTTAGTCGCAAAACGCATCTTGAGTCATTCACTAAGTTTCCAGCTATATTAGCTAATCACTCATCCAACCTGCCAAATCAATAAAACACGCAGCATAGTAACCTTCTCAATTAAATAAACAAGCAATCTGAGACTAAGCTTCAATTCAGCGCTAAAAAGGATATAAGGAGAAAGCCTAGAAATATATGGATCATAAAACCTGGCGAGAATACTAATAGAGGCAATGGTATTACTGTTTGTTCTAAGATAAATGAAATTAAAGCAATATTAAATACCAATTCGTTCGATTACTCTCGTACGTTTATCATTCAAAAATATATGGAATACCCAGCTCTTTATAAAAATAGGAAATTCGATATAAGATGTTACGGAATGCTCACTTCAGTTAATGGACACATAAAAGGATTTTTCTATGAAGAAGGGTACATAAGAACAAGTTCAAGGGAGTATAATCTAAAAAAGATAAACAATAAGTTAATACACTTAACAAATGATGCAGTGTAGAAGAAGGCTGACGACTATGGTAAATACGAAGTTGGTAATAAAGTCTCATTCAAGGACTATCAAACATACTTAGAAGAAACTCAGCCTGAGTTATGTATCGATTTCTAAAGAGATATTTTTTAATCATAGATCAAGCGTATTATTACTGATACCTTCAGAGCAACTTATAATTCAATTGATCCTAAGATGAGACATCATACATTCGAAATATTTGGCTATGATTTCATGCTGGATCATGACTTCAAAGTCCAACTGATTGAGGTAAATACAAATCCTTGCATCGAAACATCTTGTCCAGTACTTTAGAGAGTTATTACAGAGATGGTTGATAGTGGACTAAGGATTGCTTTAGATCCCCTATTCCCACCACCAAATTATAACAAAAGAGTCAATTTAGCTCAGATTCCAATTACTTAATGGGAGTTAGTATACGATTTAGATATAGATAAAGCAGAGCTAGATAAAATCTTTGAAACTTATGAGTAAAATCTACTTAATGGCAACATTACTGACATTACAAATGCTAATCCAGTTAAAGACTTAGAGTAGGAACTCATCAAAGAGGAAGATTAGGAAGATGACTTTGATTGATATCCTTGATGATAAACATAGACTCACAGATATTTAAACTCGCACATTTTAATAACAATAGCACTATTTATTTGAATTAATTGCTTCTATTCTTTAATTAATATTGCATACATGGGGTTTTGGGGTTTTGGGGTTTTGGGG